TCTCTCTCTCTCTCTCTCTCTCTCTCTCTCTCTCTTTTTGCAGAACCGGGGATTGAACTCAGGCGCTTGCACTTGCCAGGCAAGCAGTTACTCTACTGAGCTATCTCCCCAGCTCTGCTGAGTCTCAGTTGCCAGTCTTAGCAAGCCCCAGAGGCAGGACTGGGGTTTGCATGGTAGGCCCGGGAACCCCTGGCTCCTGAGCCTGCTTGCAGGCACTTTAATCTGCTGAGCTATTTGGCTGGCTCTCTCACCTGTAATTATTTTAAACATTTACAGTTTATAGAAATCTGAAGGTTTGAAAATAATTTTCAGATGTTGATTGCTTATTTAATTAAGTTTTCTAAAAATTGTGTATACTAGACAGTATAGACACAGTTAGGAATTTTGTGATGTTAAAAGAAAAAAGGATTTTAATTTTTTAGAACATATAAGGTGGTAACTTTGAAATATATGTTAAACTATAATTTTTAGGGAGATAGCTGTTCATTATATTAAATATACAATTATTTGCATTTTATTAGAGTTTCTGTGTCTTACTAAATCTCTCAGTTGCCCAAGCTGAGCTCAGACTTGCAGTACTCTTGCCTCAGCCCCCCAGCATGCTGACACACATGCTCCCCCGTGCCTGGCCTCACAACTATTCCTAACCACTGAAGTTTCCATCTTCATGATTACCGTGCTGATCAGCTTTGTACATATGTCATCAACTGGCAGTTTATAGCCCTTTGGTTTCCAGGATGAGGAAATAATAGTTTGCTTCCTAATTAGTTGTAGCTAGCTACTCATAAGTTAGAGTCCATGATGATCAACTCTAGACTATAGTGTCTTCTGAATCCTTGTCTTCCTGCAATGGTGTCATGGTACTAGTATTTATTTAATGGGGATCTTAAAACCTTAGGAAGACCAAAAAGTCCAGGAGGATATCGTCCTAGGGATTTTCAGTTACGTGAGGCATTAACATTTCCCATAATAAAGGAAGTTCAGGTTAGACTCCTGGAAACCTTCATAGTGCTTAGGATAATGAAAAAGATGAGATAATATGCTTTGGTTATCCATTTTCATGTACATAAGCTTATTATTTGCACAACTTTAAAATTAGAACTAAAATACTACTTTGTGAAGTGTGTGTGTGTGTGTGTGTGTGTGTGTGTAAGAGTTCATAGAAACACCCTTTGTGGATTATTTCCTCCTTTTTCTCTCCTCCATCAGATGGCACTGAGCCTTCTCACATGCACTATGCACTCGATGAGAATTATTTTCGAGGGTATGAGTGGTGGTTAATGAAGGAAGCTAAGAAGAGGAACCCTGATATTATACTTATAGGTAATCTGTTGTACTTATGGCATTACAGTCTCCTTTTCTTTAATTCTCAAATGCTGAATCATTTTGGTGAGTTTTTATCAATATTAAACTACTAAGATTGTTGTTAGTATTACCAGTATGCTAACAGGAACAAACATGCATGGGAAATGATCTTTATCTGCCTTTGTATATTGTGTTTGCTTTTTATAATACAGCTGGAGTAAGTTGTTACACTTCTTGTTTTTATGGAAAAGTTATGTCATGGGCCTAAGGTCACAGATGTTAAGTTGTAAAATCAGGTTTGAAACTAATTCCATTCTGCCTCACTCCCATGGTGATTAAACTATATAAACAAAATCTTTCATCAAAATTTATACAAGAGCGATGGTATTTATAAACTTGTTTGCTATATGTAGTAGTAGACCTCATTTTTAGAAAAGTTTTATAGAAGAACATCGTTTGTTCCTTTTTAAACCTCAGTGATATATAGGTCATCGTTCCAGGGACTGGGATTCTGTATAATCTGTTTCTCAGTCTTTGCCCATGTTTGGCTTAGGCTCAAGGGGCAAGCTCATTGGCTAAATGCTCAGGAGGTACTATGTTCATTTCGCTGTTGTGTAGCAGGGCCTACTGAGCCCGAGAGGTATCTCAGACACCCAGAGCATGGGATATGTTCTTCATTTGAAGTCAGATTGGTGTTTTGAAACAGACTAAGTAAAATTAATTTTGAGGACTGGGTTTCAATTTACTTTATTTTTTTTTCTTTTCTTTTTTTTTTTTTTTCTTTTCAAAGTTTTATTGATAAACATTTTCAATTTACTTTAAAAGTAGTTTCCTTAGCAATCAAAGGAAAAGGGTAATAATTTCTAAATTAAAAAAAAAAAAAACTGGCCGAGTTCCGGGAGCCCCCAGACCCAGTCCTAGCCCAGGTCCGGTGAGTGTGCGGAGAGTTTCCTGCTACCCTGTGCTGGCGGGACCAGTCCCAGCCCAGGCGCAGCGTGGGCCGGACCCTCTCCTAGCCCCTCGGGCCACCCCCCACCACTCCGCAGTGCCTCCCCCACCCC